GGCAAATTTTACCAAAAATTAAAAAGTAAGAATTCCCCATTTTTATAATTTTTCCTGATATGTATACATGTTCTTATGTTATGTTTTAAGTTTGAGCTGATTCCGATCAAAATTGAATTTTTTTATGAATTTTAAAAGTTGCTTCAAAAATTAATCGAGTTGAAGTCCCTGTACTATAGTACAGGGCCACGGGCCAAATTTCACCAAAATTGAAAAGTAGAGAATTCTCCATTATTATAATTTTTCCTGATACATAATAGATGTACTGTACATAATGATGCAACTGATTATAAAGAATAATTTATTAGTGACAATTGTTAATATCTGCAATATCTACTGAGAGTGAAAACCATTAATGCACAATGTACGTGTAGTACCTGTTATTAAGAGAGACTTTAATGCATGTACATGTACATCTCCTCCCTCCCTCCCTCCCTCTCCCTATTTCTCACCATACTGCTGTTCCTAGTCCTGATCCATAGTCAAGCATAGTCTCTGGTTTAAATCCTTTATCAATATTAGATAACTATACATGTAAATGATATTAGTGATCACATGAGAGTCACATGACGATACCTCATGAAGTACACGGTATGTTGATCCGTAAACTGGTTGAGTTCTACTGGCAGCGTAACCAATGGAAACACGGCGGCCATATTTAATGGGCAGAGTCACAGTGGTATCTCTGAAGATGTACTCTGAGATTAAGTTACCAGCTGCTATTAACGACTTAGGAGGATAATCTAATAATAATAATAATAATAATAATAATAATAATAATAATAATAATAATAATAATAATAATAATAATAATAATAATAATAATAAATGAATTTTTAAAAGTGATGTACATATATACATGTACATATTTTGAGTACATGTCCATTTACCTCTAAAATTATAATCGGAAAATACATTATAACAAAATTAAATTATGATTATTATTTTCATTAATCATAACAATTAATGCAATAAATCATGATTTATGGTAAAATAGCATTAGAAACTCCTTTTATAAATATCGTTATTACATATCATTAACATTCAGTCATTATATCATGTATTCCATTACTTGATAATACAGTCCTCAGCTTCCCCAAGAAGAGGTGGGAGGGACACAGGAGGAAGACTAACTCTCTCTTCTTTTATTTTCTTTTTTCTTACAACCTTCTCTTCATAGCCTCCTCCTTCTTCATAGTTTGATGCAGCTGTGTCTACAGTGAGAGGGGGAGGAGGAGGAGGGAGGGTTGACTGGGAGAAGCGAATGAATGGAAACAAAAGTCTCAAGCTACAACCATGTGGACGCCATGTTAAAATCATTTTCCCGCGAAACCCCGCCAAGTTAATTAGTAACCACGCCTTTTCCCCTTTCCCGCGCGCAAACTTCCCGCGAGCTGAGGTTCATAGAGAATAGAAATAAAAGAGAGAGGAGTAAAAAAGTTTTGTATTACAGAATGTTGAGATTAAAACATGCAGTAATAGTATTGTTACTGAGGGTAGCCTGTAAAGCTAAAAAGAGAGAGTGCATTAAGAGATGCAAAAAGACTAATCTCACATGATGTTGTGACTTGTGTATACAAACAAAATAGAATGTTAAGGAATGCTCATGATATTCATTGTTATTGGTGTGTTCCAGTAACTATTTTCATGAGGTCCTATATACCACACACATACACTGATACACCCATCCTTTATACACTGGGACATGTAGCCTCGCTCTAGCTGACTTGCTGCTTGCTCCTAACTTTTATGGTTTTTCTCTTCAATTCTTTTTATAAAGTCCTTTCTTTATTGTGGTGTAAGTGATTGGTGAAATAGCTACACCTTAAGTTACTTAATTCTCTCATTACCTTCCATAGTACAAGATGATTGATGTTCACTTCCAGTCATTAGTCTCATTAACTGGCAGTAGCTCTGACTTGATCTACTATTTGGTTTTATCTCTTCTCCTCCTCTTATCAGGAGATGTTGAACTCAATCCTGGTCCTACGATTGATGATAGACCAT